AATGTCTTTATACGAGGAAAAACAAAAATTTGTAAAAAAATTGGTTAAAGATGTAATTTTTTTAATGTATGTTGAGTTTTTTTGTAAATAACGTGTGAATTCGGCAAAATGGGCATGAGTTGGTTATTCAATATGTGAATTATCATGAGAGAAATATTCATCAATGCAATAAAGTGATGCTACTTTGAAGACCAGTAATGTAATAATATATTTATTAGGCTATCAGTGACACCCATATCTTTCTGCTCTAGTTCATGGTTTCAAAAAACAAATAAGTTAAAATAACACTCATGACTCTTTTATTTACTCTTCAAAAATGTTTTTATTAGGAAGGATAAAATAAAAAATTTCTAATTATCCAGTAAAAGCTTTATTTAATTCAATAAATATGTAAATAAATAACAAAATATTTTTCTCAAATGCGGCCTCTCTGGCTTTCAGTCGTTTCGGAATATTCCTGTACACAATCTCTGGCATTACATACTGATTATAAAAATTTAGTAATTTGGGTAAAACATTATTCTGCCAAAAATGTTGGTCTCTTAGAATGACTTCTATATGTAGGGGTTGTTCGTCGTTTATGTAAACTATAAAGAAACACATATCTTTTCTACAAATATTAAGCTGTCCTTGAATATAAAAAAAAAAACTTTATGAATTGAAAAAAAAAAAATGCTACTATTATTTTTATTTAACGCTAAAAACACATTTAAATAATTTTGTCCACGACCACTTAATAATGAATCAATATTCTACCTCCTAACTAAAAGCATATGGTACCCATATATCACGGAGTGAATTATGATAATTCACGCTTTTGTAATTCTGGCACATTCCGGTAGATAACTAAAGATAGGCGATACTTTCCATAACGATATTTTCTAGATCGAAAAATCAAAAAATCCATAAATCAAAAAATAAAAAAATCGAAAAATCGAAAAATCGAAAAATCGAAAATCAAAAAATCGAAAAATCGAAAAATCGAAAAATCGAAAAATCGAAAAATCGAAAAATCGAAAAATCGAAAAATCGAAAAATCGAAAAATCGAAAAATCGAAAAATCGAAAAATCGAAAAATCGAAAAATCGAAAAATCGAAAAATCGAAAAATCGAAAAATCGAAAAATCGAAAAATCGAAAAATCGAAAAATCGAAAAATCGAAAAATCGAAAAATCGAAAAATCGAAAAATCGAAAAATCGAAAAATCGAAAAATCGAAAAATCGAAAAATCGAAAAATCCAAAAATCGAAAAATCGAAAAATCCAAAAATCCAAAAATCGAAAAATCCAAAAATCCAAAAATCGAAAAATCGAAAAATTGAAAAATCGAAAAATCGAAAAATCGAAAAATCGAAAAATCGAAAAATCCAAAAATCGAAAAATCGAAAAATCGAAAAATCAAAAAATCGAAAAATCGAAAAAAAAAAATCAAAAAAAATTGAAAAATCGAAAATCGAAAAATAAATCGAAAAATCGAAAAAAAATCGAAAAATCGAAAAATCGAAAAATCGAAAAATGGAAAAAAATCGAAAATACGAAAAAAATCGAAAAATCGAAAAAAAAAACGAAAAATCGAAAAAAAATCGAAAAATCAAAAAGAAAAATCGAAAAACATTGACAAATCGAAAAATCGATAAAAATGAAAAATCGAAAAGTCGAAAAAACAACAGTTACCTATGTTTAATAAAAACTTTCCATTCTACACTTAACTTTTATTTAATAAAGAAACCATAATGGTCGTGGACAAAGTATAGTATTAGACTCGCAATTTATGGCCATTATTCACTCGGGTGACTTGCGCCCCTCGCCTACGGCTCGGGGCGCAAACGTCACTCTGCGTGAATAATGGCTACCATAAATTGCTCGTTTAATAATATACTATTATTTTCGTGCAAATATAAAAATATTGAAAGATGAAAAAATATTCAGGCAAATGATTTCAAATTCTCACTTGGTAATAATAAGTTGATAAATCATACAATAAAAATTAAAATTTCATATTTTTCTTTTTTAGATTTTTATACCTTTCGGACTACGTACCTCAGAAAATCCATACAGAAGTATTTTTGTAGAAAATTTAATTTCCTACAAATTGTTCTCTGACAATTTTTTTATAACTTCAACTGTTTTGTTGATAAGAACAAAAATATAAAAATGTACAAAAAAATGTTAGTGGGCACTTTCAAAGAGTCACTAATATACTACAAATTCTGACTAATTGCAATGGATTACCATGGAATGAAACGGAGCTATATTAATTTAAATTTTAAAAATCATGGTTTATATGTTATTTAAATGGGAAATATACATCGATCAAAAGGAACCATTTAAAATCAAAATTACGGGCTCAAATTTTAAGGGAAGTTTTTTTCGATAAAAGCAACAAAATTTTCATGTGTGAGCGAAACAAAAAAAAAATGTTCGTTTTAAATGGAGCACTCTAATATACATATATATGCCGACAATCTTTTAGGGTGGTAGGGGACGTTAAAATATACACTTTTTGTTTGATAAATGTATGTCCGAAAACTCTTCGTTTCTAAGATAAAAGTTTTAAATAAAATTCAAATTTTAATGAATATCTCAAAACATTTTAATTAATTTCAATGAAATTTTTAAAGTTTGTTGTTACCTATTTTAATAAATTATCTTTTGGACCTTTTAGCGTTTATCCAGCGTTATTATATAATTTTATTAGATTTCTGCTGAAAAAAAAATATCACTGTTTATTTTTAAATTTTTATAATGGTTTTGATAAAACGTTATAAAATACAATTCTTTGTCTTTTATTTTTTTTGTTGTATAGCGCCTTTCGTTTTGAGTTGTATTTTTAGTTGCTTCAGAGACGTGTATGCAAAAGTTTAGATATTATTTGTTTATCAGAAAGCAAAAAGAGATTCGCAAAAATATATAGAGACAATAAAGTTGTATTTATAGTTGCTTTATTCAAAACAAGTATCAACATTGTAAATATCTCATATACGCTCCAACTTTTGGTTAAAATTCCCTGTATTTTGGACATGTGTTTATTCAACAAAAATATTTACCCCTACCGCCCTTCGGTTTAGTTTATTTCTGTTTAAACTTAAATTTTAAATTATTAAGATATGAAGCAGTATGCATAGGGATCGTACTTCCACATATTTTTTATCACCCTTTGCATCAACCTACCCTTATCTCAACATTTTCAATGGTAACCTGCATTTATTGTAAAGTATTATGAAAGAGCAAACTTTTTAAGTACATCCATATTAAAAAATTAGAAAGAATACCTTTTAGAATATTTTAATTTAAAATATTTGCTAGGAAAAATCAAGAGAGCTATGTATGAAAAGAATGTGAATTTTCTTGCCTCGATGCACTGCCTCACCCCCAAAAATTCAAGATTCCATATTGAATTTTACTAAAAATAAAGCCATCCAAAATTTTCAAGGGAACTCGGTATAAAGTTAAAATGACCTAACACCTAAAATACACATAACTAAAATATCACACCGATCCATATATATACTTATTTATTTCAATCATTATTTGGAAATAGGGATAAATATACCTACCTATTTATGATAGATTTGGCAAGGTCAGTGCTACTAACAAATTCTTATGATTATTATTTAATCGGATTACCTCAAGTACCTGCTACGATCCTAATTAGACAGCTAAATATTTAATTCACCGTAAACGAGAAAAACCTCGCTAAAGAATTGGTAGACTGCCTAATACACGGTGCTTGGGAACCAACTTTAAATGAAAAGTTTATTTACTAGACTTTTTTTTTCGGTCAAAGTATTTCTGAATGGCTATAGATTGGCGCAATATATTTTTTAAAATCGGTTCCAGCAGCCGTTTTTGAGAAAACTCGATTTTTAATGAAAAAGTGACCTTTTTTTTTTACTTTTTTGCTTTTGAGTTAAATGAGATCTCAAATTGGCTGATTTTAGAGAAAAAAGTCATTGATGCTTTTTTGTAGAGCGGACATTTTCCCATTGAAATTTACTTTCGACAAGCCGAGAAAATGTGAAATGCGCAAATTACAAGCAAAAAAGTAAAAAAAAAGGTCACTTTTTCATGAAAAATCGAGTTTTCTCAAAAACGGCTGCTGGAACCGATTTTAAAAAATATATTTCGCCAATCTATAGTCCTTCAGAAATACTTTGACCGAAAAAAAAGTCTAGTAAATAAATTTATTTGAAAACATAAAACAGAAGTATGTTGCGTTTATTATTTAGCTGGCCGATTTTTGCGATACAATGGACAAAATATGGAGGTTAAAGAGTGTAGCTACATTTACGTAGGAAAGGATTAACTAAAATTCACATTTAAATCATTAAATCAAAAACCGGAAGTGCTGTGGCGTTCTTAAAGAGTGCGAATTGACAGCCTTATAATATGGAGATGAAAATCACACTGCAGCAACACCAACATTGTTAAAGCGCGTTTTAGTAAAAGTACATTATGAGGGCCACAAAGCAGGACCTCGTTAGTCGCAAAATCACCATTTTTGAGGATATGAAAAAACCATTCACAAGTACATAAAACAATCCGTTTTACTCTTTAATAGGACTAATATTTACTTATGTTTTATTGAAAAATTGTAATACTTCCCCTATACAGTAGATAGAGACAAATGTTTCAAACAAGATTATTATAAAATATAATTTTTAGTGGAAATCTTAGTTACGATGTCCTAAATTGTGGCTCTGGATAAAAAAAAACTATTATGAAAAAGCTTTTTTTAAATGACAATCTAAAGTTAACTTTAAATAAAAATGTTCTTTGGTTAAAACCATCTAGGGTTCGATTATGTAATTTGTCCTTAGTCACAACTGAAGCGACTTTGTATTTCTCATTCTTTACATAGACCTTATAGATTTAATATTAGTTCTATTCAAACAAGATCTATTTACCAATAAAATTTTATTCGATATTATAAATTTTGTTTTAGAGTGGCTAGAATTTTTTTTTTTAATATAATTCTTTTGCATTAAAAAACATCTTCAGAATAATTTTTTTGCCAAAAGTTATGGAACAGCTCTCGTAAAACAAGATGGTGTGAGCCAAGGATTCTGCCCCTTTCTCTCTTGTCGCAAAATCTTAAAACCCAACAAAAGGAAATCCAATTCGCAAACTAAAAACCGCAGAACCAGAGTCCTTTGCAGACACAGTCGCTCTTTTGAAAAAATATTTATACAAGCCCGTCGTAATTCTCGATTGAAAGGGGTTTTTCGAAATACACCAGCTGGCCCTGAGG